GAAGAAGATAAAATTAGATGAAGATTTGTATGGCCTTTGATGGTCTGCAGAAGTCCCTTGAGTGCTTCAATAAAATAACAAATGTGATATTTCCTCCCTTAAGCATCTGTTAAGCAGCACGCGCTGTAGTTAATGACCCTTAAAAAAAGAAACATGTTGGAATTCTGTTAGCTACTGTGTGAAAAACATCCTGTAACCAAAGTAATGTGTAATTTTTTTTTCTCAGTAAGCCTTTCAGCGCCTTCTTAAATGTAATTGAATCTTTTTAGGGTAAGTTCCATATCATTCTATTGGCTTTACAGGAAAACTGAAGACAGAAAATGTGTATACTCATAAGTTATATATCACTGGCATAACCTCTGCTAGCTTCCTTCATTATCCTAGGTGCAAAGCATAAGTCTTACAAGATTCTTTCCAGAGAAGAAAAGTTTATGTTTAATTTTAAATATTAAAATTATTTGAAAAAATGATATAAAAATGTCAGTGCAGAGCCTGTAGATCTATACCATACTGTAGACGGTTAGATATTATGTGTACTTAATGAACCTGTAATGGAATGTTATTTGGGGTGGCAGTTCTTTCCACAAAGCTGGTGTGATAAAGGAGAGAAGATGAAAAACAGATCACCAACCTGTTGATACAAATGGAGGAAAATTACTGTAAAGCGCAATGTTAACTGATTCAAACTTAGTGGGAAATTTGCATTTAGTTTTCAGTTTTCATACATGAATTAAAGACTATTTATGTGTTGCCAAAAAGCCTGAGATAATCAGCAAAGATATCCAACTCTGCATTTATCTTTGAATAATTAGTAGTTTGTTGATATAGATTTGATGTAAGCAGTATTTTGTATTAATTGGTATTTGAACATTTTTACTGCAATGATCTATCTAAATCTGTAAACTATAAAATCACTTATTTTACTTTAAAGAGAGTAAAATCAATTTTATGATTTCTGTTGATATTAAACATTTTACAGCTGCCAGAATTATTGAGTTTCCAGAAGGTAGAGCCCAGTGACTTGAAGTCATTTCAAATATTTTGTTTGAAGTAAATAAATAGGAAACAGAAGCTTTTGGCATATGGACCTGCCAAAAACACTAAAACACACATATTCAAAGGCAAAAGCTATGTAGAAATCTGTCTGAGGTCGTCCAGATGCCATACAGTTTCATATACATAGTCACAGCAGTAAAAATTGTGCCAGCTTGTCTATGTTATGTAAGCTTTAAGTGTGTGGAGTCATCACTCTTAGTGCATTGCCCATGGTCCATACAATTTAGTGTTAGAGGACTGATCAAGTTCTGTGGTCAACTGCCACCATCGGTCTATCCGAATGTTACCAAGTGCCTAAAGCATTCTACATTGATGTTACTAAGGGACATATGGACAGATAAACAGACAGATAGGCAGATATGTACACTGAGAGGTAGGAAGACATGTTGAATGTATATATGTACAGTCTAGTGAATATTTTTAAAATTAGTTTTTGACACCATAAAGATACCACTTAGCTGTGGGTGATGCTGATAAAAGCATCATTTGTCAATTTAACAGGAAAGAATATATGTACTTTGACTAGCTACACGTGCACCCAACCATCCCATGATTTGTGCTACACAGGATGGGTAACTTCTGCAAAAAAAAGTACTAGAATTTGTATGAAAAATCATTTCAAGTATAGCTTTTGTGTTAAAAGAAATTTTCTGTGTATGATTCCAGCTATAAGAACATAGAAGTATATTTTAAAAAATTTTATACAAGCTCCTTGCATGGTATACGTAGTATACACAGCTTTAGATCAATTTGGCCAAATATCTCCCACTGGATTGTGATAATGTTTTGGAAATGTGTGCCATTATTTATTCAACTAGTGTTATTTCCTGTGTCCATGATGATGATCACACGCTTGCCTTAGCAGCATCATCTGGGCCATATTACTGCATTTAAAATAATCATCAAAAATCCTCTGCTGAGCAAGGGTCACCTGCTTTTGAGCTGCATCTATGAAGGTTGAAGTATATATTTTATTAATTTTGAAGAGAGGCAGGATTCATGTAAGTAAAATTTTTCTTTTGAACATGAAATATGGGAATTTTGGTTATTCAAGAGCAATGCTATGAAATCTGTGAAGAGAAAGTGGAAAGAAATTATGTTATAGGACTCGTTTCTAGATGTCAGAAATTTCGAATAATTTGTGAGGTTTATAACAGCAACAATAGGGCAACTGTGATAGGTGAGACGGGGTCACATTTAATGATTGTGTTTCAGGCTTTGACATAAATGCACCTCTTTGAAGAATTAACCACAGCTATACCAGGGCAGTTCTGCTCTCTTCAAAACATGTCTTCAAACTGAGGCCCTTCAAACGTGTAGTCTGGGAATATGTGCTTGTTTACAGCCTGTCAGAATTGTAGCTTAAAACAGGTGTTGATTGTGCTGGTAGAATTCATGTGGTTTCAAATCTGACATTTACTGGGAAAGGGAACTGCCTTCAAGTTTCTTTTAATTAAAATAGTGCAGACACTGTAACACTGTAACCATTGATGTAGAAGGCTGTAATATGTTTTAAGAAGGCCAATATGGGAGGGAGTTTTATCATTAAATGAACTAGGACAGAAAATCCCTTCATTACTGTTTGAAGAGTTTGTTTTGGTCATGACCGCTTGGGGTTTATGTTCGGCTCAAAACAATGACCAGGGGAGTTAGTACATTATTAAAAATGTAACATTTTGACATGTGGTTAAATGAAATCCTGGGTGTGTTGACATAATTGAACTTTGCGGTCACCAATGCATTGCTTCTGCGAATGCTCACGCTATTATTTTTGTTTGTATTTGAATAAATAGATGTTGATTCATTGTCTTGATGTTGTATTAAGAGGGAGATTCCTCCATAAATATGGAAAAAATAGGCAGTATTAAAAGTCTAATTTTTTCAATTTCAGTTTCAGACTTGCAATTTCAGGATAAGCCTTGCTGGCTGAAATGATACATAATTTGTCTAGCAGAGAATGAAAAATGTTTCCCTTATTATCCTAGATATAAGAATAATTTCTTTATTTCATAATTGGGGAGCACAAAAATGATGCCGTAGGGACTCCAGGGATGTGGTTGAGAGGCATTAAAGGTGTGGGGATACAGTGTCATGTGGTGGCAATGGTCACACTGTGGTCAGCCACAGTTTCCTGGGCATACGCACACTGACCACACACTGACCTCTGGGTATTTAATCTATAACTGTTGTCCATTGTTTTGGTTTGATAATAGTCTTAAAAGCCCAAGTTATTTTATTTGATTGTTTCTAGTGTATAGTTGGCTTTTGGTTTAGAGAAGTGTTTATGTTGAAAAAAAAAATAGAACAAACAGAAAAATGAAAATGTGAACTAGCACACCTAATAAGATTTTCTTTCATTATGAAAGGAATATCTCTGCATGAGGTTACGTTTTTCAATTGCACCTATACTGTTTTGGAAGTCATCAAAGGGATAGCTTCATGCTGTGTGGAAATGAGTACCGTAAGCCTGATTAACAAAAAAAAAAAATGATAACCCACAGTGACATCAAACTAGTTTAAAGAATCATTATCTCACTGCATGCTCCGGAAAAAATAGAAAAACATGCTGCTCCAAATCTGATAAAATATTCATCAAACTGTAATCCTGTACGTAAGAGCCTTTTGTTGCCAAACTGTATCAAGAAAAGATGCAGTATCTTTGTGGTTGGATTTCAAAGACCACAAACCTCATTTCTTGACGTATTGGTGTAAAGATAAGAGTTTTTCATGTTTTACTATGCTGTCCTCTAGAGATAAAGTTGATTGTTTTACTTTTTCAGGTCAGTATAGAATTACTCATTTAGGTGTGTGTATATTTTATAGTTAAAGTGCATTAGATCCCTGGGATGATTTCCTTTTGTTATGTTGTTATTTTGATATAGACTAGCCTACTCTAGTTTTTGAGACAATGGCCTTGTTTATCAAATTTCCTACATGCAGTGTTATCAGAATATATAAAAACTAAATAAATAAGAAAGATGAATAAATAGCTATGTCTCCTTCCTTCTCCAAATCTACATGTAATTGGGTAGTCCTCATTTTAAATTGCTAATTGAAAAGTCTTAATTAAATATAAGGATGACCTCAAGCATACGATATCAGTTACATTCGTTGATGACATTTTAAAATTCTTTACAAGAAGAGGTAGTTAAAGTGGTGGTGAAAGGAAATAGAAATGTTTAAGACAGTCACTATCCTGTATGTTATCTGTGTATTGTCACATTAATTGGTCTATGATATATGATACTTGATAAATACAAAAGGTGTTACGTTCTGATTCCATATTTGTGATTAGTGCTTAATGACTTCCACACCAGCTGTAATGTGTGCCATGTGCCTGCTTTCAAAAATTAGAAATATTTTGTTATATGAATGTGATTCCCTTGTTTCTTGAAACAAAATATTTTGAAAAATCTTGAATATAATCCTGTATAATATTTACTGCTTTTACACAAAGTTTAGGGGAAAAATGATGCCCATTACTGCTCAAGTGTTAGTAGTTCTTTGTATTTGCTTTGGAAATATGTAATTTTATATTTTCAAGGAAGATATTTGTAAATTTTTATGTTATATTTTACTTATGTCACAATTAAATATCATTGCTGCAATTCAAAAAGAACTCGAACAGCTTTCTTCCTTTGACATATTGACCCCAGATGCAAGTTATACTTTTCTCATTAACTCTTACTGTACCAAATGTTTGATTTCCATGTTATTTGCTCTTAATTAAGTTTTAAGTCAGTTTTGTGAGATCCCCTACAAGTATCATATTCTGCAGCTGAGTTAACAGCATCTCTGTCTCATATTCTGATTATTTGATAGAGAGCCTAAAAGCATAAATTATGAAGCACTCCATTGTTATCTGATGATCGACCTGCAATGAAAGCATATATTTAATTAAGCACCCAGTTTAACTAATGGTCCTCTTTTATTTTCTCTTTTAGTGACTCCATATCAAACTCAATAAACAACCAAGATTACTTGCCACAAACTCCCATCAACATTTCCCCAGAGAAATTGAAACAAGACTTGGAAAAAGAACTTAAAATGGAAGATAGCCAATTATGCAGTCACGCTTGGTTTCATGGCAGCATACCACGTCAGAAGGCGGAGAAGCTTGTCTTGCATGATGGGGATTTCCTTGTGCGTGAATCTGTCTCTCAGCCGGGAGATTTTGTCCTGACTGTTCACTGGTGCGGTCTACCTCTGCACTTTGTGATAAACAAGCACGTGACTCAGCGGGATTCCCTCTATTCAAAAGTACAGTTTGGCTTTGAGTCAGATTTATTGGACTCAGTCCCTGACTTGGTGAGGTTCTATGTTGGCAGCAAGAAGCCAGTCACAGGGAATTCAGGAGCTGTGATATCAACTCCAGTAAATAGGACCATGCCACTGAGTTACTATGACACAAAATATGGGGCTGTAAAACAAGGCCTGCAGAGGAAAATGTCTGACACATACATGCAATCTGGGGTTATCGTTGTAGGAGGGGGTGGGGGTGGTAACCCCCCACAAAGCCCCAGACCAAGCCCCCTCGCGACCCCCACAACCACCCCACGTTCCAGCCCACCTGGGATTAGGAAAATGGGCTACGGCATGCGAGGTGGGGGAGGTCAACCGATCTTGCCTTTAGACACGGATAGTGAAGCTGGGAAGTTGATCAAAAAGATAGCGGATGACAGCAACGGTGAGGTGAAGACGCTGAAGCATAACAGGACAGCTAGCCAGCCCTTGTTGACACCCATTGACGACGTAAATGAAGACGATTTGAGAAGTCCGACAACTCCCAAGATGCAGAAGAGTCCAAGGAATTCAAATATGCAGGTATGTTGAATAGTGTTAATTTTGTTTAAAACATAAATCTTTTTTACCTAGACCAGTATGTAAAAGAGGTAACGTATGTAAGTGTAAAATAATGGGTCAGAGAGAGAGAGTTGGGGTATATGATATAGGCATCATCAAAAGACAAAACATTTCTCTTATTTCAGTGAACTCATCATTGCAATTTACTTCTGATAAGTTCACTTCCATGTCACATTGACTTATGTTGGAACTGTGTAGGAAACTGCAGTCTCACAGTTTTCCAATCACATTTAGGAAGTATGTCTTAATTCAGTTACACTGCCCACAGCAGACAAACAGCAGTGATGCTATGTTATTACTCATCTGTTCTCCTCCATAAGAATTTAGATGCTGTGAGCACAAAATTCATAAGTGGCTTGTGTTCTATTGATTTGTATAGGAAAAATTTCCAGCCCCTGGCAAATTGTCTTGACCTTGAATTTAATATTCAAAATGCCTATAAGAGATGTAAGATTTGTATAAGGACTTGACAGGAAGTTAACATAATAAATGTAAATTGAAATTCTTGCCAGATGCAAGATTCATTATAAGTATTACTTACTAGTAAAGATAAATCTACCTCTTGTCAGCTATGGAGATTAGCAGATGTATTGCAGGGAATATGAAACTAAATTGCTTGGGAATCTATAAGGTTGTCTATGGTATGGATATATTAATAAATAATAATTTTGAAAAATTACAAAGGAGTACTGACACACAAACCTTTTAAGTTTTTAGTTTTGGTGATTACTGGTAAAAAACTAGCCACTTTCACTCCCTCACTGTGAATTGTTTGAATTTAAAAGTTATGCTTTGTTTCAAAGTCACAAACACTTTTTCTTTGCAGGCGGATGAAAGGCGTGGCAGTTTGCCCTATAGCCCTACAGCTACCCAGCCTCAAGTAGAGAGAAGGGGAAGTCTTCCACTGTTAGATATTGACCAAGATCACGACACAACCCTCAACAGAACCCTACGCAGGCTCCAGCAAGACCACACAGGAGCAAACCTGAAAAAGTTTAACAGAATTGGCAGTGAGCCAAATTTACTCGAAGACGACCACCCTGGAGACACGAAAGATAATGGGGCAGTTAGCATTCACAAATCTGGAGTTTTAAAGTCAAATTTAACTGGCTCAGATGGTGACTTAAATCGGCCTCCGCCTCCCAAACCCAGTAGAATTCCTTCAATTAAGCACAAAGAGCGCCCTCTGGTGGTTATCAGAAATCCTGAAGTGTGGGAAGACGATGGGCGAGATTATTCAGACTACAGCCAAGTGAAATCAGAGCCCAGCTGGGTGAAAGGCAGCAAAAAATGGGGATGCAATATTAAAACCAAATCAAAAAAGAAATCAGATGAAAATCAGAACAATATTGATGACAGCAATGTCAGCATTCCAAAGTCTAAACTACGAGTTCATAAAGGTATATCGTCAAATGCTAACAGACCACTTGGGCTGCTGATAGAGAATCAGCCCCCATCAGCAGACTATGATATTCCACAGTCTGAGTTTTCCAATAAGGAGGTACACTTGAAACGTCACAATGACTCTGGTATTGAAGAGGACGTGCATGGTTCACTGATGGATATGTATTCCTCCCCCTCATCTATACCAGTAAAAGAAAGTGACCTTCAGAATGACCAAAGGATGGTTACAATGCCAGACCTTGACCAAGTTAGTTGTTTCAATCCAGCCAACTTCACAAGTTCAATTTTACCCAATGAGAATAAACCCCTGGAAAGTTCTGCTGTTCTGTATGTGAAGAATACTCTATTGAACATGGAAGCAAAAATTCTTGCACAGCATTTTACAAAGATTGACCTTGACCTTTTGAAGGTCAGCGGTGAGCATGACCTTGGGGTTTGTGTGACCTCTGGATTGGAGTTGATTTCATTAACACATGGACATCAGTTGAGACAGGATGTCTTAGAGAGGTGAGGAATAGAAAGAGAATACAAAACATAACCCCCTTTTCTAGAGGATTTGTGACTTTCCCATGCAATGTATTAAAGAAATCTGGTTTAGGTTAGGTCATTGTTTAGTTAACTTGCACATTTTCACAAATAGGTCCCCAGACGTAGGATTAAGAATAGCCTGATTCTGTTTTAAGAAGTTTTTAAATCAATTCACCTGTTTTAAATGCATCAACCAACATGTGCAAAGAAACTCCAAAGTCTTGAACATTTATTTTGTTTTTGACTTAACTCTTAACTTAAAACGAGATCAAATTCAGGATTTCTTACATGTTGAAACAGTATAGGGTGCTCCATGGTTCAGTGGAATTTCCAAGCTGCTGCAAATAGTCAATTTTCACTGTTCTTTCACACATTAAGGTTTGACCCAAAGTACATTGCATATTTATAAGTTGGGTGGGAAACTTAGTTGGTAACCCATTATTTTTTGCTCTGCTGCCTCTGTAATCTATTTAACTTACGCATTTTATTAGAGCTTAACCTGATCACCCTGAGGATAGGAATCGTTTGTTTTACTCTTGGTGTTGGTAAATCTTTGGCTTTGAAACTATTTGAATCTGTTGAGTCAAACAGCAGGCGTCAAACACTATGTGATAGGATTGTCTGGGTCACACTGAAATTGCTCTGAAATCCAGACACAATACTATCACAAGTGTTTAGCACTAGCAGTATTGCATTATAATGTATTTGTTTTAATTACTCTAGATTTTCACTTAGATATTTCATTTATCCCGTTTCGTCCTATGGGTCATAACTTCACAACAGAGGAAAAGTTTATTTTGTTTTTTCAAGCAAAAAGTGCAATATTAACCTCTGCATGTGGCTATGCAATCCATTTTAGTTAATTACAGTTCTACTATTATCACATCGCCATTTTGCTACATAGGATAATTATGATCCCTCATATAAAGCGGTGTAAGTTCTTTTGTACTCTGAAGCACTTACACGATTTGGTTATACCCACCAGTCCTATATATATATATATATACATTTATCACAGCTTTATCAATGCCATGTTATTCTGTTTTACTCTAGGTACCATTGTCTAAGACAGTTCATCGCCCTCAGCATACTTATTGGCAGCCATGCTGGAGAAAGGGCGCAGGTCCTAGACAAGTGGATAGAGATGGCTGTAGTGATGAAGGGAACACTAGGAAACTTGTTTGGGTTCCATGCTGTGATAACTGCACTTGGTCTACCTACAGTAAGTTGACCACGGCCGTTTCCATATTATAATTACCTTTTTTATGTTTGTTTGTTTGTTTGTTTTTTTCTATAATTCTTTCTTTGTCTCTTTTTCTTTTGGTTATTGCTCAGCCGAAAACAATATGTCCCGGAATACTGCAAACCTATAACATGATAAAAAGGGCAAAGTAGTTTCCTTTGTACATAAATTATAATAAGCAAAGTAAGATTTTATCAAAAAGCAAAAGGTTAAAATTGAAGAACAGTTTGTAAATTGTAGAAGTATAGGAAAACATCTGCAAATCATTGATTTTTTGTCAATACCAGAAATACGAGTTAATAATAATAGGAGACACTCCCATATAAAAATCCAGGAAGAGATATGTAAATTGGTAGCTGAATTTAATTAAGTTCCTTATTCATAACCCACAGTGAGCACATTCCATTTGATGATAAATAAGCGATAACTATCTAGGAAAGCTTAACTTCCTATTCCTTGTGTAGGTTATTGTGTATGTCAAGTAACCCACAAACTATTTTATTATGGTGTTAAGAGAAATGAGGCAGAACCTTGAAAACTGATTAGTGATAATTTATGAATCATCATCCTTTCCCCCTCCAACATGATGGCTTTTTAATGGGAGTCTGTTACTGTCATTATCTGGCACTGGTACTCTTTAGATTGGTACATGATTACACATGTAAGGGTTATTTTTAAAAGCAGTATGTAATTTTATCAAAAGTGCCTGCAAGGACTTCCTTAAACATACTTGATTCACCATCTTCAATATTACAATACTTGTAAGTGGAAGCGTCGAATACCTTATATTTGAAAATAGATGTGTCCAATAACTAAATTTCTGCG